TATATCCCAGAACAGTTTCCTTTAGGCTATGTTCACACCATGTCTGGACCAGTTGTGGAGCAGATCTGCAAACGCAGTGCAGTGCGTTTTGCTGCATTTTACCGTGATTTTAGAGCGATTTTGCTGCGTTCCGTTTTTTTTTTAGCTTAAAATTGGCTATTAGGTGCAGGCCAGGTCCTACAGCTAGATCCTTCGGCAGCTTTGTGAATAGACCCCTAGGTCTGTACCTCTCTAAGACCTGGGGCTGAGATGTAAACAATGCAGGAGCCTGTGCATTACACCCACAATCACGGCTGCAATAGTCTGCATTTTTTCAATGTGGGTGCATTTATTGTGTTCTGGGGGTTCATTTAGGATTGTCCGGAAGCTGCAGAAACGGCTCACACTGAGTCCAGCTTTCTTGAAGATCTGAGCCATTGCTTCTTAGATCAAAGTGTATTTATACACATTTTTTTTTTTTTACTTTAAGATATGGAAAGGTTAAAACTCTGCCAGCTTCCTGTTGGGAAGACTTCCCTTCACTTCCTGTCTTGGAGACGGAATAGAAAGTAAGAGTAAATCTTTACAAAATAAGGGATATTCTCCTCTTAGATAGTTGTCCACAGAACACTCCTTTCCTTTTAGTTTTTTCCTCTATACCTGTTCTGGGGAGAGCTGCAAAATTTTGGTTTTCTCATCATTTTCTGTTTCGGTGAAATAGCGAACAGGAGAAATCAAGAGGGTAAATCTCCCCAGTGGGGACATAGATACAAATAAAAGTCTGACAGGGTTTCTAACTGGGGATGTTCAGATACCAAGTACCGTACTTGGTACAAGTACAAGTAGAGATACTTTTCCAGCTCCAGGACTAGACTAGAGAAAAATCCAAAAGTTAGTAGGCAGCTGTCATTTGTAAGGAGCATACAGACCTCCCGGGATTTGTACATCCCCATTTTAATGCATTTTTTTTTATATATAAATATATATAAGGGAATGCACCGATACCATTTTTACAAGTGCAAGTACTGATACTCGCCCAAGTACTCACAGATACAAGTACTGATACATTTTTGTTTATTGTCATGTGACAGTTTTTCTAAAAACAATACAGACTAATGATTTCAGGACAGTGGTGGAGCGCCAGAGCCAGGTCCCAGCTGCAACCGCTGCAACCCTGGTAGTTCTCATGAAAATGCCAAGTATCAGCACTGGTATCTGAACTGGTATCTGAACATCCCTAGTTCTAACACTTCCCTACTCTACTGAAAACTAAAAATAAAGTTTTGGCTATACATATGCACTAAGAAAGAAATTGCAACCAGCTTACTAATTTTACTTTAAAATATATATTTACGTCCTCCGTGTTTAGTTGTTTACCTGGAGTTCTACTTTACATTTCTGCAAACAATCAGTGGGGTCAAATATTATTTGTACTATTTCATTATTTCTTTTCTTTGTGGCTTTCGGTTGCAAACCATTGTAAATAGTGGTCTGCATTCAAGCAAGTTATTTACAGGAATTCCTGGACTAAGCCCAGGAGGTTTTAATTAGAAGCAGAGTACCTTACAGGGCGGCTCATGTTAATGGGCCTGAGGTTTACTTTTTTTTTTTTAAGTATTTCACAATGATCCATCTGTAATGCTATGTTATGGAACTAAAGTTTACAAACAAAAGTCTAAACGTTTATGTTTTTCTAACAAACCTTAGCAAAAAAATTGACAGGAAGACAGGATCTTAACATGTAAAATTAGGAACAATATGCCCTTAAAACCTAAAAACCAAGATCACATTTACTTTTTCACCTCTCATACACATGCACTGTCTCTGCCACCATCATTTGAATGTATTTAGTTAGCTTTATGCTGGGTAAAAGTTATTTTCTACTTCAAGTAGGTACATACTTATAGAAAGAGCTATTAATAACATACTACCTGGAAAGGTCTGCTTTTAGGGGAGTGCAAGGTCCTATTGTTACTCACCTAGTGATATGTTTTTCAGTTTTGAAGAGGAACTTTACCCATCAATGTAATGTCTCCCAAAGCAGTTACTTTTAAGGCATGCCAACTGTCAAGGTTGCTAGTGTGCCTATTTCAGCTCTCAAACAAACTGTAGTGGTGCTGGTTAATATTGGCTCTGCCAGGCTGGATCCTGCCTAGTGTTCCCAAGAGGGTGCTTATGATATGAGTGATGATCTTTACATCCACTGGTGCCACCCTGGGTGATTTGGGACTGTGGGTCCTTGCGTCAAGAGCTTGGAGGGCCCCAGCAAGATTAGTGCAAAGCCACTCTGAGGTCCTGGAGTTGGAGCTCCCCCAGTGACAAGCTCGGTGTTCAGTTGGCAGATTTTAGAAGAGAATGGGTGATCGGTGCATCAAGGAGTTAACTGCTGTGCAGAAGGTAATCCTGCGTTAAAAGCATGCAGTCTATACGGTTGAGCGATGCTCAGGTTGGAACTTGCTGGAAGAAAAGTGTCCTTTATCAATCTCATAAGATATTACGTAACTGATCTCCTTTCTGTGGTCCACATGGGGTCTGGCCAAAACACTTGCTAGGGTAATTACTTTTTTAAGATGGCTGCCACACATGGTAGAGTAACCTACAGCTCTTAATAATTCCTTTAAAAATACAGTAGTTCAGCAGGAGAACCTTAACACTGACACTTGGAAGGCTCAGGTCCCATTATAATTTGACAGCAGCTATTGTGTCCTGGGCATGCAACCTTGTCAGGGACCAATTTCCAAACCTATGTCTGCTACGAAGTCCAACAAATCTGATCAGCAACTGTGCCTTGGACAGGTAGCATTAAAGTAAAGTAAAACATCCAACAAGCAGAGTGGTACCCCTTCATAATGTCTGCAAAAGAGCTGTATGTTACACTACCATGTGTGGCAGCCATCTCAAACAAGTGTAATTACCATAGCAAATGCTTTGGCCAGCCTGCCCTGAGGACACCGATATTATGACTAAACAGCTAGGTGTCTTCTTAACTTTTATGTAGATCGTTCATCCCCCCTGATTACTTTATAAAGCAGGTTTTGCTGTGAATCTGTTACTTGGCTGACTATGAGATATCATATCCTCATCCTATACTTGATATAGAGAACTTTATGGCTTAATACTACTTTGCTTTGAAGTCTGTATGAGCTTGTTCTATTTCTTCTGATTGGACCATTATGATGTAATGGATTTATGTTGTATGAACTATATGGGCTACACTGAAAGCACAGTATGGAAGGTTATGTATTACAAGGTGCAAACCCACTGCCATTGCTATTTAGTGGACTTTTATCTTTAATTGTACCAAGTGGTTAACACCTAGGCGATTGTGGATGTCGAGCTGTTTTCGTGCGTATGTCGTGCATTTTATGTGCACGATTTTGCGCTAAAAACCTGTGAAAAATGCATACAGATGCCTATGGGACCAAAATTGTGCAACATCTGCCTGAAAATAGCTTCTGCATCTTTTCGCAACAGGTGATATCGCACGCGCGACGCAAAGCTTAGGTGTGCACTGTCAACATTGACTTCTATGGGTTTTTGTGTTTTGCGCGTTATCACTGAATTCGCATGATACAACGCCTAGGTGTCAACCAGGCCTCAAGAATCAGTGTGTGTCCATGGCTGTTGCATCATTATCGATTGTCATTTGGCAGCACGTCACATCACATTGCCATATGATGGATTTTCCAAGATTCCATCTGTTTAGCTGGGATTTGTTTATATCATTATTCTACAGCCTAGAATAAGGACTGGTAATTGTCTGTTTATTGATACCCAGTAATCATGTTTGGATCTTACTAATTATTAATAACCCACTACATGTGGTGGTTTTGAGATATCCATCTTTGAAGTCTGGCAGGGCTTTTCACTAAAGGTTGAAGGGTTTGGAGAAGGCAGGAGAAGTGAACAATCTAGCCCAAAAATAGCTGATTTGGAAAAATGCAGCTATGTTGTCCTAGATTGTTCACTTCTCCTGCCTTCTCCAAACTCTTCACCCTTTAGTAAATAGCCCTTTAAATAAAATTGAACTGGTATCTAGTACTCAAAGTGAGTAAGTAAATATTAGAAATATTATTTCTTATATATTTCTATTTTTCTATACTCAAAGTACTGCATTTTGTTTGGATTTAACACAACTTTTGTGTTGTTTTAGAATAGGGAAGGATTAAAACCATTATTATTTTTTATTGCTTTCTGTGTCCCTCTAGAAAGATTTTCCTTTACTTCCTGTCTTGAAGACACAAAAGCAAATGAGAAGAAAACCATTCAGAAGTAAACAGAATTCCCATCTTCAGATCAGATGTCCCTATTACAGGTTTCTCCCTTACGTCTTGCTCAAAACTTTTGGATTTCTACTCACTTTCTGTTTGTGACAATGGTCACCAGGACAATTTGAGAGTTCAATCCACTCAGAGGAGACTCAGATAGCAATGCAAATGCAAGGAAGGGTTTAATCCTTCCCTACTTTATCCAAAACTGAGAGGGCTATTCACAAAATGGTGAACAATTTGGAGAAGGCCAGAGAAGTGAACAATCTAGGACAAAATAGCTGATTTGGAAAAATTCTCCAATTCAGCTCACTTTCCAGTTCAGCGATGTTGTCCTAGATTGTTCACTTCTCCTGCCTTCTCCAAACTCTTCACTCTTTAGTAAATAGCCCTGTAAATAAAATTTGCACTACATACATTTTATCTATGCGTGATGTTTGGTAAAACCTCTACAAATGTCCCCTTGTGAATTTATCTTTCATTACTTTTTTGTAACCATCAAGTTACAATGAAACTAAAACAAAAATGACTCTAAACATGTAATAATAAACCAAAAATAGTTTTAATTTATTATTTAATAACAAATATATAAAAAATATTAACCACATATATTTAAGTAAATATCTAAATATCTCTATATTGTCCATTCAAAACTATTCTTGATTATTCACATAATAAATATAGAGATTCACATTTGTAAACATCTTTTCAGCCAAAGCAGTAGTATGTGAAAATATGCAGTTTGATGCTCGGTTGCAGAGTTGATGTCATTAACATCCCAGCCAGCTGTTGGTGGCCATGACCTGGAGGATTCTTTTTGACTCAATGCTGTACTGGAACTGTGATGTTCCTTGGAAGAAGTAAAAACGGCCTGCAGGAAAAACACATAACAGTCAACTTTAATAGGTTCTTCACGGCATCTGAGGTCTCATTAAAAAGCCATTTTAAGGTGCCGTCAATAGTAAGGAAACAGATTTAACTCCTTTCCTTGAAGTGGAAGAGCATCTAATTCACTTTCCAGTATATGGCACCCTTATAACCCTCTTCACTATGTCCTACTAATAGACACCACAACATTCACATAACACTAAAGACTTGCATTGTATCCTCGTAGATTCAATGTTATTTTTTCCACAGAATCAAGTTAGTTCACCTATAATACAGTTAGCAGGAGGGACTGTTAGACCAGTCCTTCCAGCCTCTCTCTCCCTTCACTTGGGTGATCCAAGGTCCTGTGAGTCATCTCGTCCAATACATTGTATTGGACATGAAGACACTGAGGTAAATGCCATCGCTGGAGCGGAGGAGGAGACAGACTGCAGGGACTGCTCTTTGAGCCAGTCCCAGATAAAAATGAGCACTTAACCCTTGCAGTGTGTGGGTAGCACCACTTTAAGGGTTAAACAAATTATGCCCAGAGTTCTTCTTTAAAAAAAGTCTTGAAATGAACCTGTGTCCAGATCATGCACACTAAAGTATTTATATATTCAAGCAGTAATACGCAGTAAAAGTACTTTAAACCAAGACCTTATTCACCTCTGTAACTGTAAGCTTTGTGGATAAACTTTGTTTTCAAAGTTCACAACATGGTTAATACAGTTTGAAGTCTTTACCTATTATTTTCTGTTGCATCAGAGTCTTGTGTTTGCATATACAGTATTAACCCACATCCTGAATACAGTGGACCTGGGTGCAAACTTATATAATTTCGTCAGACAAGCCTGACGGTTACATCCGGACGCCCATAGGGTTATATTGGAGTCTGTTTTTGATCCATCTAATCATGGGTCTTAAATTGATTAATGGAACACCCATGTAAAAGGGGCCTTAGCTGTTAGAAACTGAATGAACTATACAGTCTTTGTTGTGATCTTTGAGGATGAATAACTTTACAATAAACGCACCTAGAGAGGGATGACTTGTTTTATTGCCCCTTTACTGTATTGTTAATATATAAATAGTTTATTGTCCATAGTCTGGTCACCGGTGCACTTGAAAGTACAACTGTCTCCACTACCCACAGCTACCAAATCAAATTAAAATGTTCACATTCCAACTGTTTAATTTGGCTAACACGGCTCTGATTTAACTAAATGTTGGCATTTTCTTGTTTATCCATTTGTCTGTGTTATGACAATCATACAGAGGGTGTATTACGGTCATTTCAAATTCACAGATTCATGCTGAGGCAAGACCTGGCATCCCTCCAACTGGTAGTCATATTTACCTTTATAAAAAACCACAGCATCAATATTTGGACTCATTCCTGGAAATCCTTTGGTAATGAACTTTGGAAATCCTCCATCCATTGCTTTTTTCTCTTCGTCATAACTGAAAAGGAGAATTACACCACTATAAATTACCAGCTATCAGCAATGAATGTACTAATATAAGCCCATAGTACACAAAGGTTTGTCAAACATATAATGAACACTAGTCATGTTCTAGTTCAATGCACAATACTGTAAGGCAGCCAGTTCTGTTTGCTGTGAAGCTGGCTTTGCACAGAAGATTTTAATAGTACACGTTAAGGTTTATTCACTAAGGGAGTAGAAAATGTTGGCTTAGGTTCATGCATTAAAGTGACACTAAACTGTGGAGTCTCATTTTAAAAATGCATTCAAGTACCTTCATTATTAACAAAAATGTAGCTTAGATCCTCAAGTCCTCATCTCTGAATTGGTGCTGACACTGTCCTTCCTTCTGGAGGGTGGCTACTTCTGTTCCCCATGGTCCCTGTGTGTTATAAAGTAGTCACCACTCCAAGCTCACTCCCGTGATGGACTACAATCTCACATTTAGTTTACTAATTTGTATTGAAGTTGTAGTTGTACTTTATAACACACACAGGGACAATGGGAAACAAAAGTAGCCACCCTCCAGAAGGAAGGACAGTGTCGGTAACAATTCAGAGATGATTTGAGGATCTACAGCCGAGTGATACACAAATAAGATAAATTTTTGTTAATAGTTAAGGTACTTGAATGTATTTTTAAGATTTAACTCCTCAGTATAGTGTCACTTAAAGGGAAGTTATGCTCACTTTGATTGCCCCATGTGCAAGGGAATTAAACACAATTTTGTCTTGCATATTATAGGCTGATTGAAGTGAATTTACTTAATTCAATATGCTTAGCGCACAAGCTCTGCTGCTTTTGTAAATCAAAGTGTGTGTAAAATATGTTTTTTTTAAAGCGTGTGTAAAAGCTGTTTATGGAAATATGGATTCCAAATTGACTTTGCACACATAGAAAATCTGCATCTCTCCCTTATGTAAGAAAGGCACTAAGAAGGCATGTTTAGCCAACAAAGGTGAGTAACTGGGGAAACTGACATTAAAAAGGGAACTTATGGCTTGGTTTGTTGTTAAGAGAAAAGTCAGCCACCTTCTGGAGAATCTTTCAAATGCTAGCAAACCTTAGGGAAGCCAGAGCATCTAGCTCCACAAAGAGACAAGGTGTGGCAGCAGCTTTGCAAGCTGGAGATCTGAATGCAAGGTTATTGCTTTTCAAGGTGAAAGCTACAGGGCAGTCATCATCATCATCATCCTAGCTTCACTAGGTGGGAGGTAGCTGAATGAAGGATGAGAAAGACATCACTGGAGCCGACAGCCTCTAAAGATGTTGGTAACGGCAGCTTCCTCATATCATGACTTTGGGCTCTGTGTCGTTGAATCTATGGGCAAACCTCAACTTTTTCTTTGTGTGTATGAGATGACCTTTTACTGCACAGTGCTGCACATTGATGAATTATCGGTGCCATACTAACCTCCAGTACTTATTTCCCACAAAGAAGTATGTTTTTCCAAGGTGCTCCACATGGACGGCCGCATCAATTTTCTTAATGTTTTTAGGGAATCCGAATCTAGTGATGCTCTTTGTTCCTGGTAAAACATCGAATCCATCCAGAGTCCAATATTTGTTCCCTAAATGTAAAATTTTAGTTTATGAGATGAAATTCACACACTGTGGCAAGAACAGACAGACATGATAAAAGGTTTTTGCAGTGAACTGCTTTTCAGTGAATGAATTGTGGATTAATCAAAAGACATTTGAACATTTTTAATTGAGGAGCTGCATAAATCCCAGGGCTACATGGGCAATTTATCATAATCGGGGAGCTGCATAAATCCCAGGGCTACATGAACAACTTATTATAATCGGGGGGCTGCATAAATCCCAGGGCTATATGGGCAATTGATTATAATCGGGGAGATGCAAAAATCGCAGGGCTACATGGGCAATTTATAATAATTGGGGGTCTGCATAAATCCCAGGGCTACATGGACACAATTTATTATAATTGGGGGGCTGCATAAATCCCAGGGCTATATGGGCAATTGATTATAATCGGGGAGATGCAAAAATCGCAGGGCTACATGGGCAATTTATAATAATTGGGGGTCTGCATAAATCCCAGGGCTACATGGACACAATTTATTATAATTGGGGGGCTGCATAAATCCCAGGGATACATGGGCAATTTATTATAATCGGGGGGCTGCATAAATCCCAGGGCTACATGGGCAATTTGTTGTAATCGGGGGGCTGCATAAATCCCAGGGCTAAAACAGTGTCTAATTACAACTGGGAGTGCATGCTCGGGACACAATTGTGAGGTCTAGAATACATTTTACATTTTTATAAATGCTAATAATAAAGCAAGTCCAGACTTGAAGTCCTCCCCGTTACCTTTAAATGCAAGAACTTCTCCAGTGATAGGATTCTCATAAGCAGCATCAATGTCATTAGGTAAAGATGGCCACAAATTCTGGATAAAAAGCAGATCAGCTTCGCCCCCTTGTGGATGTTTACGCCATATAAACCTGTTCGGAAAAGGACGACATTTATTATTGTTGTATACTTTTGTTTGTTAAAGCTGAACTCTAGGCACTAAAAACTTTCATTTAAATATATTCCTCAAGAGTCACAAAGGATTTATATCCAATTTTTGTGGACAAACACCAAAGCAAACCCACCCACTACTGGAAGTGGGGCGGATACAGGACCGGTCACCCTGCACAAGGAAGAAGAGCAGCAGTTACTGGTCTTTTATTATTATTACTTTTTTATTATTATTATTAGAAGCCCCTTCACAGAGGCAACATTGTGCACTGGTTTACTGCACAGATCCGAAAGAAATACACAAAGCACACCAAGATTCAAGGAAGAATACACAGGACTCTTGAATATTTGCTTATTCTGGAGTTTAGCGTTAAAGGACCTTTACCCTACATTTAATTTAATTTACAGATGTGTGCATGTATGTGCTTGTGTGCATGTATGTGCTTGTGTATACAGTTTAGGGGAAACTATCCAAGCAACTCAGTGATATATATGTTTTGTTTATCTCCACATTCCTAAAGTGTCTGAACTATCTCTGCTTTATCTGTAAGGTTGTCCTAATCCCAAGCAATAATCCTGTGACTTTCTGGACTGTCATGCCATAGGGGGAACCCAAATTTCACCTAATGTACCTATCTACATTTCAGTGCTTGTCGTGTGACCTGCTCCCCATGGGGAATACAGAACTTGATTATATGGGTAACCAACCAACATTTTTCAGTCCACTAAACTGCCTAAAGTGTAAATCCAATCATCTCCTCTTTTTCTAACTTGAACAGAGTGATTTTTTTACATCACTCTTAATCTCTTTCTTTATCAGCTTTAATATCTACACAGTTGGGCTCGTGAAAGAATTGTAATATATATCCTTACATTAATAAAATAGTGCTGTCTTAGCTATAAAAGCATCTCATTGGCACCAGTGGCATAACTATAACCATAGTCACCCAGGGGGCTGCTATGGGGCCTGGGGTAGGAAGGGAGCTACTCTCGCCCAGCTCCGCAGTGTTCAAAATGGTATCAGATAACAGAGCACCATAATAAATATATAGTATGTGCATACAGGAGCTGGGAATAACTACATGTTGCTAGCAGAAGGTCAGGCAGTTGACATGGCAGAAATTGTTGAAATCCAGGGTTCCTGTTAACGCTAAATCTTGGTCCCCATTGGTTTTTAAAGGCTTCAATTAAAATATTTATTAAGTAAGCTTGCTCTGAAGATTGAATATTGAAGTATGTGCATAAGCCCAGTCAGGACTGTTTAGTGTGACAGGATTAACACACAGTTCTATTGTATATCTCATAGCTAATATTTGGTGCCTCTGTAGGTGAAGGAGTAAAACTCTCAAGAACAAGTTGTGTGTCCTCTGATCTTAAAGAGGCTCAGTGTGGCCCTTGTTGGCCTAACTCACTTCTTTTTTTAAGCTGCAGTGCCTTTTGCATCCTTCCCTTTATCTGTATGATGAAGTTGTGGTGTATTACTACCACCAGTGACAAGAATAGTAGAATATGACCCTGGGGGCTGGCAGGACGCTACATAGTGTCACTCATAAACAAAACAATCATATCTGTATATAATGAGGATCTCTTTACAATACAGACACTCCTCACTCAATGACCGAGTTCCGTTCCTACGACTAGGTCGTTAAGCGAATTGGACACTAAGTGAGGAATAGAGGAAATCAGCTCTAATATACAGCACATGACTTAGGTTTGCATACCGCAAATAGCAATGTACAGTACAGTAGTGAATACTGGCTGACTGACCAATTGTGGAAAAGAGACGTAGACTGAAAAAGGGTGATGTAAGATGAGCTTGACCCAAGTTCTCGTACAGTGTACAATACGAACTGGTCCGAGAGCTGGTTGTTAAACAGGTAGGTTGTTAAGTGAGTAGTAATTGTATAACAAGAGAACTTCTTCTGGTATAGCTTCATAGCTAAGATCATTTACCTGTTTATAAAGAAAAACAATTCTCCTCTAAGGGTGGTGACAGCATCAAACACAAGGTTAGAGTCACATTTGGAAGGGGTGGTGGGTCCTGTTGGCTGAAGTGCATCTGAGGTTTTGCCTAAAACAAAAGAAATAAAAAAATGATGAATCTTATGAACAAAACTGCAATGCATTCTAAATGTTGTGATCCCTCTCCAGTTCCATTAATATTGATAACATTACTTATTATTTCTTACCATAAAGAGATTGGATAGCATTGATGTCATCTTGAGGAAGTTGGAACCGGCTGGGTTCTGTGTTTGGGTAATTAGGGTACATCAATGCACCAGGGTCCTCGGAATGGAAAAGACCAAGTGAATGCCCAAATTCATGAGCCGCGACCAGAAACAGATTATATTCTGAAATAAAACAGACACATGAGTAAAGCACAACGTCTAATAAATGATAATAAATACAGACAAAAGTCATGTTGCATAATCTGTATGTTTAACATTAAGGAAGCAAAGACCACATCAATCTTTATGATAGACAATTCAGTTAGCATCTCTGCTGAACACTAATTTAAATCCTTTTTGTAGCTAGATTTGGGCTGACACCTCTACAGTTTGTAGTTAAACTTTAAAGACAAAATTTACAATTTGCAAAGCTTTAACACAATTATAAAGATCTTTATATTCAGTCATGTGACATTTTTCACATTTTATTGGCCTCAGCTAAGAATAAATATTGTTTTTTAAATAAAGATCATTATCCTGGTGTAATAGCTTTGTGATTGGACCCTATAGTAATCCAAACTTGTTTGTAAGGATAAGATAATAATAACATAACCATTGTTTCATATCACTAAGTAGAAACCCAGCATATAAATCTAAAAATAAATCAAGGCAACTGGAGTTTATGTATTTTGAAGACATTTCACTGTTCATCCAATGTGTTTTCTCAAAGCTAGTTGGATGACAAGCGAAACGTCTTTAAGACAAATACAGTAAGTCCAGTTGTCTTGATTTATTTTTTACAAACATACCAATGACAGAAAGTTTTTACATTATATTAGTTCTGTATATAATTTAGACTATATATATATATATA